ATCACAGACATTTGGTTAAAGTGTAAAATGTTTGCACCTGGCTATAAAGCAAGTCATGTTCCTGGACTGAAGAAACTGAAAGGAGGTTAGTCGCTAGGGAGAGGAAGCCGGGTTTTGCTACATGACATCATTACTGGACGGACACTTAGCATATTAGCCTTTTACATATATATATAGATAATTCCATACCAGATAAAGTTCCCTGAGTTGTGCAACCACCACCATTATCACTTTAATAAATTTTTCTTTACTCCAAAAGGAAGTTCTGTACCCTCCAAGGATTCTCTGGGTTTTTTCTTTAAAGTACACAATCATATATTTTGAAAAAAATTTACCCATTTTAAATTATAAAAATTATAAACAGGAAAAAATTCAGGACATCAGTAAGAACCACCTCTGTTCATTCCCACTCTCCCAAGATAACTAACAGTTTTTGTGTATTGTTCCAGAACTTTTTTGTGTATGTACATAAAAATATATGTGTCTAATTTTTTCCCAATGGAATCGTACTTTTTAAAAACCATTTAATATATTTTTGTCATTTAAAAAATATTAGGCCTGGCCGGTGTGGCTCAGTGGTTGAGTGTCGACCTTTGTACTGGGAGGTCACAGTTCGATTCCTGGTCAGAGCACATGCCCAGGTTGCAAGCTCGATCCCCAGTGTGGGGCGTGCAGGAGACAGCTGACCAATGGTTCTCTCTTGTCATTGATGTTTCTGCCTCTCTCCCTTCCTTGCTGAAGTCAATTAAAAACTAAACAATAATTTATAAAAAATATCAGTATCATTCCTACTATTGTCCATTTTGCTCACAATGGTATTCTCAGTGCATAACATGGTGCCTGGCACAAATATTCATTCCATGCATATTTTATTAGCTGCATCTTATCTAATACTAGAGGCCCAGTCTACTCCCTCCCTTCCCCCGGTCACCTGCTGCTGCAGCCACTGCCACCAGCCAGTGTACTCCCTCCCTTCCCCTGGCTTGCCCCACCCCCTGGTCAAACTCCCTGCTGAACTCCTGGTTGAGGGGACAATTTGCATACTATGCTTTTATTATATAGGATTAAAAAAAACTAATCAGTCTCTCATTGAATTGAATTTTTCTTTTGTGTATTAGATTATGATGTGATGAACTCTTCATAAAAATATGTCTGTAGGATAGTTTCTTACAGTGGAATTTTGGAATTAAAGTCTAATGTGTATTTATAATTTTAATATATGCCACTGTTATGGACATACTGTTATTCTTTGTGGGATCCATTGGAATTTTGTCTAGATTTATAGATTAATTAGAGGAGAACCAATACTTTTTAAATTTTAAATGTTTTGTTTTAATAATCCTATGAATGGACAATCTGAATAGACCTATATCAAAGAAATTTAGTCATAATAACCTTCAGTATCATAAAGCACCTGGCCCAGGTGTATTCTACTAAACATTTTATTTTTCCATTGATTTTTTATTTATCTTATATATATATGAAAGCCTAAGCAACTGTTCGACCGTTCAACCATTCATCGGTAACTATGATGTGTACTGACCACCATGGGGCAGACGCTCAACACACAGGCATGGAAACATGGAACAGACTAATGAATCTCAGAGGGAAGGGGAGAGTGGGGAGGGCGGGAAGAGATTAACCAAAGATCTTATATGCATACTAGAGGCCCAAAACCGGCAGGCCGACATCCCCTGAGGGGTCCTGGATTGAGAGAGGGCACAGGCCAGGCCGAGGGACCCCACTGGTGCACGAATCCATGCACCAGGCCTCTAGTTTAAGTATATTTTCATTGATTTCAGAGAGGAAGGGAGAGGGAGAGAGAGAGATACAAACATCAGTGATGAGAGAGAATTGCTGATTGGCAGCCTCCTGCATGCTCCACACTGGGGATCAAGCCCACAAACCAAGCATGTACCCCTGACTAGAATTGAACCTGGGACCCTTCAGTCCACAGAGTCAAACCAGCTAGGGCTCTATTGATTTTTAGAGAGAGTAGAAGAGACGGGGAGAGATAGAGAGAGAGAAACATCAGTGTGAGAATTCTCTTTTTAAAGTCACCTGGGTCTGGCATTTTTTGGAAGGAAAAAAATTTATTGATTTGGTTTATAGTTAAAGGACTATTTTGACTTTATATTCTTGAGTCAATTTTAAAATATCTTTTTATTACGGAAAATTTCAAACATGGAAAAATGGAGCAAATCATGAAACGATCTCCCATATACCAGCACCCAGTTTCTTAAGTCAATTTTGCTAAGATTTATTTTTCCAGAATTTATCTATTTCATCTAAGTTCCCAAGTGTTTTTGACAAAGTTATTCGTAATATCTTCTCTCTTTTTTTTCATCTTTTTTTACCTTGAAAACATCTATAATTTTGTCCCTTTTCATTCTTGATGTTGGTTACTTGTACTTTCTCTTTGTTTCCTTAATTTTCTTATCAGATGTCTGACAATATTAAAAGTCTTACTTATTGCCCTGACCGGTTTGGCTCAGTGGATAGAGCGTCGGCCTGCGGACTGAGGGGTCCCGGGTTCGAGTCTGGTCAGGGGCCTGTGCCTTGGCTGCGGGCACATCCCCAGTGGGGAGTATGCGGGTGGCGGATGATCGATGTTTCTCTCTCATCGATGTTTCTGGCTCTCTATCCCTCTCCCTTCCTCTCTGTAAAAAAATCAATAAAATATTTAAAAAAAAAAAAGTCTTACTTATTTGGGGGAGTTGGGGAAGGAGGCTGACCAGGAATCCAACTCCCAAATGTTTGTTTTACAGACGGATGCTACAAGCAACTAATCCAACTAGGGCTGGACTTTTATTATTATTATTATTTTTAATCCTCACCCGAGGATTTTAAAATTGATTTTAGAGAAAAAGGAAGGGGTGGGGGTGGGGGGGAGAAAGAGAGAGATACATCGATGTGTGAGAGAGAAACATCTATCTGTTGCCTCCTGTACACGCCCTGACCAGGAATCGAACCTGCAAACCTTCTGGTGTATGGGACGATGCTCCAACTAACTGAGCCACTGGCCAGGACTATTAATAATCTTTTAAAAGAACAAACCTTTGACATTGCTGCTCTTCTCTGCTGTGTTTGTTCTTTTGTTCATTTCTGCTTTCTTTGGGCCTGTTCTGTTCTTTTTCTGTTGTCTAAAGATGTGTATGTAGCACATTAATTTCCTTTCATTCTTCTTTTCTAGTTAAGTGTCTAAGTCTCTAAATTTTCTTCTAAATTGCTGCATGTCTCATTTTTGTTATTGTTTAGTTCTAAAGTTTTTCTAATTTCTATGATTTCTTCTTTGATCTGTACGTTATTTGGTCATACTTCTAAATTTGCAGTTGTGTGGCGTTTTCCCTAGTTATTTTTTTTTTTTTGTATTGATTTTTAACCTAATAGTATTTTGGTCTGAGTATTATCAATCTTTTGACATTGACTAAGATGTATTTTGACTACTAGTATATGGTTAGTTTTTGTAAATATTTCATTTGGTTGGGGATAATTGTTTTACCTGAGCAAAAGCTTGTTAAATATGTTCAAGTTTTTATAGACTTAGTAATTTTTTATTTTCATAATTGACCAAAAAAGATTTGTGAAAATTTCTCACAATGACTGGATATTCTTTTTCTCCTTTTACTTTTATCTGGTTTTGCTTTATGAAAACTTTATTGTTTAGTTTTTAACATTGTGACTAATTTATAGTATATACCCCTTCATTTTTTAAATTGTATATCTTTTCCACTGTTGAAGTACTATTTATAAATCTATTATATAATATATTTTTTATTTTTACACGGCTTTTCAGAAAAAGGGAGAGTTGTTTTCCTTGTGTAAGAACATTAGCTCTCCTTCCTCCCATTCGTCCCTACATGCCTTTACCGCATCTGAATGGTTTTCAGCGAGTCTATCCACTGAGCCAAACCGGTTTCGGCTTATATATTAATTCTAGCTTTTATTGGATGGGTTTATCAGAGTATCTAGTTCAGGGGTGGGCAAACTTTTTGACTCGAGGGCCACAATGGGTTCTTAAACTGGACTGGAGGGCCGGAACAAAAGCATGGATGGAGTGTTTGTGTGAACTAATATAAATTCAAATTAAACATCATTACATAAAAGGGTACGGTCTTTTTTTTTTTTTAGTTTTATTCATTTCAAACGGGCCGGATCCGGCCCGCGGGCCGTAATTTGCCCACGGCTGATCTAGTTAGTCCTTATGATGAGAAATGGAACTCTTTTAAAAAAAATACTGCAGTTGATTTGCTAATATTTTAGAGAGGATATTGGCATTTCTATTCATGAGTGAGACTGGTTAGTAATTAGGATGACATTATTTATTATACACACCGATACACTTTTGAGAGTGAAAGGGAGTGCTGATAATAATTGCCCTAGGACAACAGACATAAACTAGGAACATCCAAGGCAAACAAGGAGCACCTTTCAATTTTTCTTTGCTTTTGATTGCATTTTATTGTATTATGTGAGGTTTGCAAAATGAAGCAGGAAGCTTATGTGCCTTTTTACAATGATCTTGAATAGGATAAATAACTTAATATCTGTTTCTCTAAGTTTTGTAGAATTTGTTTTTTAAAAGTCATCTGAACACAAGAAGTAGGTAAGAGTGATTGTTTCCTAGGGAGTGTGACTGGGCTCAGAAAGAAAGTGTTTACCTTCCACCTTTTGTATTGTTTTAATTTTTCAAACCCTCTCTATGTTAGGGTTTGCATGTTTGTCTCTACTAGTTAGCTGTATAATCCTCAGGTAAGTGACCTCATGTCTCTGAACCTCAGTTTCCTCTCTGCACAATGGAGGTGATCATGCTTCCCTGATAGGGTCATTGTGAAAATTAAAGGCATGTGAAAGCACTCAACGTGTTCTTAGCACACAGTAGAGTCTTTTATATTAGAGCCTCTTTTTCTGTAGCTTGTCTTTAAAAGCTAAGGTTTATCTTCTTAGATCAAGCTGAGACTATCTACTTGACCCTTTGTCTTCTCACAATCCTTTGACAGGACTTCATTGATTTAACCAGAGAAACCAGACCAAGGCCAAAGGATCGCAATGCAATCTGTGTGATTGACCTGACAAGAGCTGAGGAAGAAAGCAGACCTATTGCCACTCTTGACTTGACTCTAGAACCCGTTGCTCCTTCCCAGAAGGAGTCAACCAATCTTCAAACATGTGCCAGCCTCTCCAGCAAAGAGGCGATGGAAGGGCGGGTAGGCAGAAGCTCTTGGCCTGCAGCACGGAGAATCATTAACAGCGACCCTGTGGATTTGGACCTTTTGGAGGAAGCCACATTTGAAGGCTCCCAACCCCCTGCATCCATCAGTGGGGACTCTGTTTATCCCGCACAGCCGAACTGTAGCTCAACTGCATTCAAAGATGACTTTAGCTTCTTGGCAGGCCTTGAGCTGTCTTCAGATGTTCACTCCCTCTCTCCAATAAGCAATAATGGTCACAGCAGCAATCACAGGGTGCCCTTGCCTTGCCCACAGCAAGATGTACCTTGCCAACCACAAGCCTTGCCATGCCCACTGCAAGCCTTGCCATGTCCACCACGAGCCTCCTCCTGCCCACCACGAGCCTTGTCGTGCCCATCACAACCTGTGCCGTGCCAACTACAAGCTTTGCCTAACCTGCCTCAAGAAATGCCATGCCCTCAGAATATGTCATGCCCTCAGCAAAATATGACAAGCCCACCTCAGGACTCATGGCATCCTCAACATTTACCATGCCCACCTCAGGACTCATGGCATCCTCAACACTTACCATGCCCATCTCAGGACTCATGGCATCCTCAACATTTACCATGCCCACCTCAGGACTCATCATGGCATCCTCAACACTCACCAAGCCGACCTCAAAATACATCATGGCATCCTCAACACTCACCAAGCCGACCTCAAAACACATCATGGCATCCTCAACACTCACCAAGCCCATCTCAAGACTCACTCTGCCCGTCTCAAGACTCTCTGGGCCTACCTCAACGTGTACCTGGCCCACCTCAAAACATATCCTATCCACAAGATGTGGCACACCTGCAAGACATGCCACAGTTACTGGGAGACAAGCCACAGCCACCAGATATGCCACAGTCATCAGGAGACATGTCACAGTCATTGCGAGATGCTCCACGGTCACCAAGAGATGCACCACAGACACCAAGCTATGCACCGCAATCACCAAGAGATATACTGCAGTCACCAAGAGGTGTGCCACAGTCACCAAGAGATGCACCAAGGTCACCAAGAGATACACTGCGATCACCAAGAGATACACCACAGTCACCAAGAAGTACACCACGGTCACCAAGAGATATACTGCGGTCACCAAGAGATGCACCGAAGACACCAAGCTATGCACCGCAATCACCAAGAGATGCACCACAGATACCAAGAGATGCACCGCGGTCACCAAGAGGTGTGCCACAGTCACCTAGAGATGTGCCACCATCACCAAGAGCTGCACCCCAGTCACCAACAGGTGTGCCACAGTCAACTGGAGAAGTCTCACATTTACCAGATGTGCTGCGTTCACCTGGAGACATGCCACACTTGCCAGGAAGCAGGCCTAACTCTCCCCCAAATGATGTACAGAACCATGACACTCCTATGGATGTCTCAGCTCCGTCTTCTCCAAGCTGCTCTCTCAGCCCACAGTCTCCACAGTCTAAAACTTCCTTAGAGAAAATTCCCTGGCTCTCTGTCCCAGAAACTCCAGCCAGAAAGGAGATAGCAATGTCAGAGCCTGCCAACCCCGGGTCTGCCCACATACAAGCACGAACACCACCAGGCGTGTTGTACCACAGACCCTGCCTGCATAGACTGAAGTACTTCTTACGACCTCCGGTTCATCACCTCTTCTTCCAGACACTAATACCCGATAAAGACGTAAGAGAGGTGAGCTAACCCTGTGGTCGGCAAACTGCGGCTCACGAGCCACATGCGGCTCTTTGGCCCTTGAGTGTGGCTCTTCCTAAGCCTTAGGAGTACCCTAATTCAGTTAATAACAACCTACCTACCTATATGGTTTAAGTTTAAAAAATTTGGCTCTCAAAAGAAATTTCAGTCGTTGTACTGTTGATATTTGGCTCTGTTGACTAATGCCGACCACTGAGCTAACCTATCTTCCCCTAGGGCTTAGATGCCCTCTGAACAGACCTAGAATAAGGTTAGTATGCTAGCAGGAATCCATGCATGAGAGAACATGCCCAATATGAACTTGACATTTTTATCTTTCCACTATTTGTGAAACCATTTAATGTATGACAAATGCTTACGTTCTGAATCTCAGTTTTTTAATCTATAAAGTAGGAATAATAATATGTATTTCTTTTTTTAAAATATATTTTTATTGATTTCAAAGAGGAAGGGGGAGAGAGAGAGAAACATCAATGATGAGAGAGAATCACTGATCAACTGCCTCCTGCATGCCCCCTACTGGGGATTAAGCCCGAAATCTGGGCATGTGCCCTTGACCGGAATTGAACCCGGGACCCTTTAGTCCGCAGGCCAGTGCTCAGTCCACTGAGCCAAACCAGCCAGGGCAATAATAAGTATTTCTTAAGGTTGTTGTGAGAAATGAGGATAAGTTCAATGTACAAAAATTGTTTTATAATTATTGCTGTTATTCCCATATCAAACTTCTTAATGTTTGTTCTTCTGGTTATGAAAATAATATATGTCTATTATGGAAAAATTGAAAATACAAAAGAGCATATACAGAAGAAAATCACTATAATTCCACTACCCAGATAATAGAAACCACTTTCACATTTTTCTCTCCCAGACTTTATATACATACTTTTTTGGGTGAGAAAACAACTTAATATTTACTAGCAACTCAAAAAAAGAAAAAGAAAAAATGGGATTCTTCTCCTAATAAAACATATTTAAAAATATATTTCTTCCTCTATTTCAGTACCTGATAAGCTATTATAGCTACCCCTAAATATCTTATCACCCTCACCCCCAAATCAGCTTAGGCTAGCTCTTGACTCTTTTGTGCTTTGCTTTCTATGCTACAGTTTAACACAGATGAAATCATGTTATATGTATAATACTGAATTCTTATTTTTTAACTTAATATAAGCATTTGCCCATGTCATTGAACATTCTTAGATAAGGCCTTCCAGTCTTTAAAAAAAATATATGAATATTTCAAATGCATGTAAAGCTTTGCTGTCTTCAACCTGTTTCAGAACCTCTTGTTTTTAAGTCTGTAGAAAACCCATCCTAATTTATTTCTCTTTATCTCTACAGAACAAGGGTCAAAAATTAGAACCCATCCCCCATCGAAGACTAAGAATGGTAACAAACACCATTGAAGAAAATTTTCCCCTGGGGACGGTGCAGTTTTTGATGGACTTCGTGTCACCCCAGCATTACCCACCCAGAGAAATTGTGGCTCACATCATCCAGAAAATCCTGCTCAGTGGCTCTGAGTCCGTGGACGTCCTTAAGGAGGCCTACATGCTTCTCATGAAAATTCAACAGTATGAATCTTAGATGTGGGCAAACCTTCTAGGGAGCCTAGACTGGGGCATAGCTTTCTCTTGCCTAGGCTCTATTCAGCTAACCATTAGAGAGGGTGCCTTAGTATACTAGTGTTATTTGGATTACTAGTTGACAGGAAAGCCAGTCCAAACTGGCTTTAACAGGTAGTAAAAGAGAATTTAATGATGCACATTACTAGAAACCTAGGAATAAAACGACTTAATTCAGTTCAAAAACAGTTACAAAGACTCATTTTTCAGCTCTGCTTTGCTTCTGTTTTCAGGCGTCATGTGGTAGCCCTCTCAGTCTCTAGCTTTTATGACACTCTGAGTGGGAGAGGGAATCTGCTTCCTTTACAATCACACAAGAGTTCTGCAATGGAGTCTTATAGGATTTAATCGGCATAACCTACAACATGAGCCCATCTGTGAGACAGTCCCTGCGAGCTGAGGGGTAGAAGTTACTGGCTCAGTGCGCTTCATAGGCTTCATCCCAGGGTCCTGTGGTAAAGCCAGGGGCTAACTAATGAAAGTTGATTTCCTCCGGGCAAGATTGGGCCACTAATGCCTCCAAAAGAGAAATGGACACTGGGTGGCAAAAAAGAAAAAGAAATTCTACTACCTTCAGTTGACAGTAGTGTATCAAAGGGGGGTGGGCAAAAGCACTCAGGATAAGAGGAGGCTTCTTGCTTCTACCTTCTAGATCCCATCCCTTCTCCCACTAAGGTCTCCAGAACACTAACTTCATGTCACTTGACTTTCAGGCTCCATCCAGCTAACGCCAAGACCGTGGAGTGGGACTGGAAGCTGCTCACGTACGTCATGGAGGAAGAGGTAACGTCAACGTTACGAGGGTGTGTCTTTTGCAGAGGAAATTTTAACTAGAAACAAAAGTAACAACAAATCTGATAGTAAGGTCTTTGGCCATTATTTCCTTTATACTCTCATCCCCATCAGATAATTCCTACTGAAATGGTATGTGCTGGCTTCTAATTCAAGACTGAGGACATTCACTTATCCCTCTCTTTCTTGAGGTCCCATGAGCAATAATCGTAAATGAGTAGGGAAAGTCATAAATCCATGGCAATGAAAATAAGGAATTAGATCTGAATGAAGATGGGAAGAGGAGAGGTAAGAGTGATGACTGATGAAGCCAGGCAGAGAAAGGCAGAGGCTAGAGTACATACGGAAAGGGCTGCAGCCAAGGAGGGAGGAAACCTGCCCAAAGGACATGTATGCATGGCCAGTGGACACAGACCACAATGTGGTGAGGACCAGAGCGGGGGTGGGGGGGTATGGTCTGGGTGGAGGAGGGCAAACAGAGACATCGGGGACATGTGTAATGTCAACAATTAAAAAAATAATAATAAATAAAATGGTGATGGTTGCAGAACTTGATATATTTATAACAAATCATTGAGTTGTACATTTAAAATGGATGAATTTTATGGTTTGTCAATAAGTTGTTTTTAAAAATACCAAAATAAATCAATTTGGGAAAGAAAGGGTATTCTCAAAATTCAACACCATTCTTGAGGAGGTCAAAGAAGTAAACTGATAATGTCAAGCAATGTAGAAAGGATATAAAAGAAGCTTTAAGAAAATAAAAAATCTTCACCAGAAACAAATGATTTTCTTAGAATACTATATGGATCTCCAGTGTAATAAATAATTTTAATATGGTCCTCACACTGTGAACACTATTTGGTTATCATGTTTAAAATCAATTTTTTACAAAGCATGGTTGACAATTTTATTAATTTTGACAGTAGAAAATAGGAAAGTATAGAAGATAAAGGTTGGGAAGTGAAAAGAGATAGCATCTCTGAGAATAGTGGGGCTATTACAGTATCCTTATCTTACAGCATAGAGATAGAATGTATTATTTGTAGGTGTTGGAACATAAATTGAGGTAGTTATTTTAGGAAGAGAACTGGGATGTGGCATAAATGAGATAAATCCTCATCTAGCATAGCAGAAACCAATAGGTAATGTCTAAAGCTGATAAAAAAAAAATAGTGTGATAAGAGCATTTTTTTAGAGATATTTAGGGTAACCTTCAGAAGAGTTCAGGCTCTTCCCTGCAGGGCACTGGAGGGGACAAGTGGCTATGGAGAGGTGTCACTGGAAGACTCTTCATAAATCTAGCACACGTACTTGAGTTTTTCAAAAGCATTTATATCAATAAAGATTAGAGAAAAAAATTATTCTTTAGAAGACAAAGGTATCCCATCCCCACATCCTCCAAAGAAAGAAAGAAATGGTAGATACTTAGAATGGTCATTCTTCTTCCTATTGACCAAGAGTTTGGTTTCTAGGAAACATGCCTGCCCTGTGGTGTTTGAAAAGTCCCCACAGAGGCCAGAAATGGTTGGGTGCCCGCTCATTCTTTGAAATTTCAAAGCCTGAGTTCCCAGGCCTGGATCCCAGCACTTGTCTCCTAGGAAAGGGAAGCTGCTGACTGTGCGTGCCGCCTGCTGGGTGACAGGTACTGACATTGGCTTTGGTTAGAATGGGGACCACAGAAATCACAGGGACACTGAGACTCAGAGGCCTAAGCTAATAAGAGGATCAAACAAAAATCTGTAAATGAGGTCCGTGTGCCACCAGAGCCCACGCTCTCTACCTGCCCGGGTGGGCTTTCTCAGGGAGGGTCTTTTCACCTGTAACAGAAAACCCACCGCAGACTTGCTTACACAATAAGGCTGCGCATCAGCTCACATTATAGAAGTCAGCAGCCGGAGGGATGTCCTGGTTGCTTGATCTAGCAGTTCAGCAGAGTTACTGGGGAGCCGGTTCCTGCCTCTCTGTTCTGAGAGCCACAGTTAAGGGTTTATTCTGAAACTGATAGATTTAGTGAGAGACTCACTTCCCATGGTCATCTCTTACCATCAGAAAGTCTGCACTCCTGAGCCTCCAGGAATGCCCTATTTGCCCTCTTTTGTAATGACCTAGTCTGCCTGCTCTCTCCCTTTCCGGTATAGACATACTGTTGACTCGTGGCCTTCCTTTGACTAAGTCTTTATGAGAGCCCAGTGCTCACTGTCACCCAGGAGATGAAATACTTCTCATTTCTCTCCCACAGGGACAACATCTGCCTGGGCGAGTCCTTTTCCTGCGCTATGTGGTCCAGACCCTGGAGGATGACTTCCAGCATACCCTGCGGAAGCAGCGCCAGCACCTGCAGCAGTCCATTGCCAACATGGTGCTGTCCTGTGACAAGCAGCCCCACAACGTCCGGTAACCAGCCCCTGAGCACTGGGAGGGCAGGAGGCGGGGGATAGGTAGGCCAGGGAACACCAGATGGGCGAGACCATCCAGAGCAGGATGGTGGGCCAGGGCCAGTCCCTGAAACTACAGACCGCCCTAAAACACATGCTCTCCGTCCCAGCGTATGCTGGGCACCAGAGCTTGCATTTTTCTCTCAAGGCCATCAGACTTCCTTGGGTCTATTTCCCTATTGTCCAAACAACCTCAGGAGATCTAGGAGAAACCTCAGCTCCTCTTAGTCAGTCTAGGGATAGAGAATTAGTAAGTAGAGAATCCTCAAAGAGCACAGGAGAGCGTAGTTGGGTTTTAAATTAGAAAATACCAGTTTGAATGAGGGCAGTTCTGCCAACCATTCTGCTGTGTGAATGTAAGGCATTGGATAGAGTAGGTAACGGGAGACAGGATCCCACTCTAGCCAATGTTGCCAGTCACTTTCATTCCCACCTCTCCTGATGTGAGCCTCTCACTCACTATACAGAGCGATTCTTGGGTTTAAAAATAGACATTTGTGCCCTCAAAATGCAAACCAGGTCCTGCATTTGTGCTTTATCAGATGGGAAAACTAGCTATCTTTGATTCAGTAAGAGATGGATATGAGATTAAGGTTGTGGCTACATGGATGTATGTATGTATTTATCAAAACTCATCACACAAAACCTGTATGCCATTTATTGTATATAAATTATTCCTCACAGATAAGGTTTTAAAAGAGATGGTAAGTCAGTCTCCATATGACCCCTCTGTACGGGATTTTCTTTTCTAACTGTGCCCACAACGGGTAAATTAGTTCCATAAGATTTAAGAAATATACTAGTCCCCAGTCCCTTTACCTGCATTTTCCTTTCCCACAGTGGTAACTACTTTCAACTCTTTCATTTGATTCTTTGGATATTTACATCTGTGTGGCTAAATAACCTGCTGTGTTGCTAATTCTTGACTTCTTTATTACTAGCTACTATCAATTTCCCACATGAAAGATGAGGAGTTGGCTCTTTTTGCTCCCTACCTCCTTCCTCCATACACACATTTCCCAGCCCCTGTACCATTAATATAGTTATATCATAATTTTGTATAGGTTAGTATTTGATGTTTCTATTACTATGGCTATGTAGCTAGTCAGAGTTGAGTCAATACTAAACTATGATACCTTTTTGTTTTCCTTTGAGTTGATAATTGCCTTAGTTTTAGTTTCCTTGTATTCTTTGTGCATATTGGAAATCAATCCCAAATTCTTTACTATTTGGTCTGAACCTCCCCTCAGATGTTTATTTGCACTGGCTAGTCTTACCAGTTTCTTCTCAAATATCTATGGTGAAACATTTTGGCCTCCTTTAATCTGGATCGATTGTCCTCTTTGCGAAGCCTTACTGTAAATGAGGGAGTTCCTTCTGCCTGTTCCTAGTGTTAGACTCTTGTTTATTTGCTCTACTTCTTCTCTTTCTTGGTTCACTCCCTCCTTTCGATGGACCAGTCACCAGTAGAATCTTAGAAAGGTATGTGGGAAGTAAAATTTTTGAGATCTTGTATGTCTGAAATTATCTTCCCACAAATTGATTCATAACTGAGTGTAGACATTTAGATTAGAAATAACTTTCCTGAGAAACCAAGATGGCGGCATAGGTAAACACCGGAGTTTGCTGCCTCGAACAACCACTTCAAAAATACAACTAAAAGATGGAACGGACATCATCCAGAACCACAGGAAGGCTGGCTGAGTGGAAATTCTACAACTAGAAGGAAAGAGAAAAGCATACTGAGACTCAGAGGAGGCACAGTGTGGAAGTAAAATACTAAGGTACAGAGGCGCAGGCAGAGCGGGCTGGCGGCTGAGGGCGCGGTTGTCATTTTCAGTTGGGAGGGAGTCTCAGGCTCTGAGCTTCAGTTCCGGGCGAGTCTCTGGGGACCCAGCCTCATATGGGAGAAGCGGGACTGTCTGGCATTGGTCGGAACTCAAGGGCAGCTTTCTCTCGGAGGGGCTTTCAGCCATTGTCGGGACACTGAGAAGCAGGGCCTCTGAGAGCAGCCATAACTGCTAGCCTCGCCCTGTTGATCCTGCCCCGCCCAAGCCCTGCAGGGAGACTTTTGCTGGATAGCCTCAGGCAGAGGCTAGATTAGCACCTCCCTAGAGATCCAGGAGCCAGTGTACCCAGAGGTAAGAGTGGGACCATCCAGTTTGCAGCTCCGTGGAACCATAAAGGACATACTCGGGGCAGACTCAGTGAGCACCAAAGCCCCATTGAAGCAAGTCTTGCCCCGGAGTGGTGTCTCCAGCACAGAAGTTCTCCCACTGCAGACACAGCTGATTCTCACAGCCAACTGGCCTGGAGGTCAATTCCTCCCAGTGATACCTACAACAATCAAGGCTAAACTACAACAAGACTGTGCACAAAGACCACAAGGGGGTGCACCAAGAGTGTCCTCCTCAGGTAACTGGGGAGGCTGAACCACTGGGCCCTAGAGGACACTTAACACAGAAAACCACTTTATCAACATAGGAAAGCATAAAAAATGCGGAGACAAAGAAAAAGGACACAAATGACAGAAATGGAGGAAAGCAAACTACTAGATATAGAGTTCAAAACCACACTTTTAAGGTTTTTCAAGAATTTTCTAGAAACTGCCGATAAACTTAATGAGACCTACAAGAAATCTAATGAGACCCTCGAGGTTGTGATAAAGGACCAACTAGAAATTAAGCATCCACTGACTGAAATAAAGAATATTATACAGAATCCCAACAGCAGAATAGAGGATCACAAGAATCAAGTCAACGATTTGAAATACGAAGAAGCAAAAAACACCCAACCGGAAAAGCAAAATGAAAAAAGAATCCAAAAATACGAAGATAGTGTAAGGAGCTTCTGGGGCAGCTTCAAGTGTACCAACATCCGAATTATAGGGGTGCCAGAAGAAGAGAGAGAGCAAGATATTGAAAACCTATTTGAAGAAATAATGACAGAAAACTTCCCCTACCTGATGACCTGATGAAAGAAATAGACTTACAAGTCCAGGAAGCGCAGAGAACCCCAAACAAAAGGAATCCAAAGAGGACCACACCAAGACACATCATAATTAAAATGCCAAGAGCAAAAGACAAAGACAAAATCTTAAAAGCAGCAAGAGAAAAACAGTCAGTTACCTACAAGGGAGTACCCATACGACTGTCAGCTGATTTCTCAACAGAAACTATGCAGGCCAGAAGGGAGTGACAAGAAATATTCAAAGTGAGGAATACCAAGAACCTACAACCAAGATTACTTTATCCAGCAAAGCTATCATTCAGAATTGAAGGTCAGATAAAGAGCTTCACAGATAAGAAAAAGCTAAAGGAGTTTATCACCACCAAACCAATATTATAGGAAGTGCTGAAAGGTATCCTTTAAGAAGAGGAAGAAGAAGAAAAAGGTAAAGATACAAATTATGAACAACAAATACACATCTATCAACAAGTGAATCTGAAAATCAAGTGAATAATCTGATGAACAGAATGAACTGGTGATTATAATAGAATTAGGGGCATAGAAAGGGAGTGGACTGACTATTCTTGCGGGGGAAAGGGGTGAGGGGGACGCAGAAAGAGACTGGACAAAAATCTTGCACCTATGGATGAGGACAGTGGGTGGGGAGTGAGGGCGGAGGGTGGGGTGGGAACTGGGAGGAGGGGAGTTATGGGGGGAAAAAAGAGGAACAACTGTAATAATCTGAACAATAAAGATTGAATTAAAAAAAAAAAGAAATAACTTTCCTACAGAAAGTTTAAGGAAATCTTCCATTGTATTCTAGCTTCCAGAATCACTGTTAAGAAGTTATAAGTTACTTCGATTACTTTTTTTATGTAGTTTTATTACATCTGCATGTGTTCCTACAAAGTATATATTTTTATTTTTAGCTATATATAAAAGGATATCATGCTATATGTAATCCGTTATTTAAAAAGTCTTTTATTTTTCACTTAATATTACAGAATACTAAGATTTGTCCATATTGTTACCTAACACTGTAGCTTATCCATTTCCACTACTATATAATATTCTGTTATGTGAATATACTTCATTTTCCTCCTGATTTCTAAAATTTCATGATTTGTTTTCACCTCTTTTTCTCATTCCTTGTAGATTTTTAAAAATGATTTACTGTAGTATTTATTAGTGGGATTTTTGAAAGATACAAAGTTAGCTGTGTGTGTTCAATCCACCATTTCTGCCTTGGTTACCTAAGTGATCATCAAAGGAATTTTGACTGTATAAGATGTTTTTGCCTTGCTGACCTTTAGAGCCTACACCCTGTGTAAAATATGACTCTACTGTACATACTTTAAACCTGGAGTGTTAGCATTAATAGATGACACCTAACAAGTGAAAGCCAGCAAGGACTTCTGTGGTCATTCACTTCAGCTCACCACCTAGTCAAGGGATGTTTCTGGTCAGGAAGCCAGAAATAGTGCTCTTAGACCTTGGAGGTACCTTTCAATGATGGTAACTCAGTAAATGTTGGTATCTTAGTTACATGTATAACCCTACTGCATTTAGTGTATGGTTTCCAGTAGACTTACGTACATTGAAAATAGCCTAAGGGCCTTCTGTTGCCATTGGGGAAACCTAGGGGTTTAGGAGCCCAGGGTAAGGCTGCAGTTCTGAGCACCATACAATCAGACAAAAGTTTAAACGTTTTCTTATCTGTTTTCCCTTGCAGAGATGTGATCAAGTGGTTGGTTAAAGCGGTGACGGAAGGTGGATTAACTCAGCCCCCAAATGGGAGTCATACCTGTTCGGGAACAGGCACCATGAAGGCCAGCAGTAGCCACACTTCTCCCCAGCCTCCTCTGACGAAGAACACCACTCAGGTGTAAGGGCAGACGCTGCCTTTCTGGGGCTGCTGGGACTGACTGTAGAAACAGCCCCACTCCCTAAGAGCAGTTCCCCCAAGTTAACAAGCCCTGAAACAGAATGATTCTCACTAAAGACTGTCTTGTTTGATCAAAGGCTAAATTTCTAATTCCAAAGGTAGAACAACAGCAGATGCTTTCCCCTAGATGGATAGGACTCCATAAGTGAACACAAATTTATAAACTGAAGTGAAACAAAAAACGAGGATACAAGCCCTCCCTTTCCTGGACACCAAGAGACAGTGCAGTTACAGCTGCACATCCTTCAGCTTCACTGACAGAAGAGAAGGGATGGGTAGTGGGCGATCGGCAGCCTCTAGTCCTCGAGGACCTGCGTCTCTCTCCTCCAGTCCTGGGAGGAGTCTGGCCGTTCAGCCTGCCGGTTCTACCAGGTTATAACAGCAGTGGTTCAGACCAGGTTATAACAGCAGTGGTTCAGACCAGGTTATAACAGCAGTGGTTCAGACCAGGTTATAACAGCAGTGGTTCAGACCAGGCCGGTCCCAGGACCTCAGCACCGGAAAGAGATTCCTGGAGTTCTTTTATGGGGTTGAGAGTGGTCTAGGTATTTTTTGAGAGATGCCAAGATTTTAGCAGCTGGAGCTGCCCTTATACAAGTAACCCTCTATCCTGTGTCAGTCATACTGTGAGAAATCAGTCACACTCGGCTTTTCAAACACAGCATTTGTGCTTAAATTCACAACGCTGTATTACAATCTAGTTGCACGGATTTTCATATAAGGCCTATGGGTTTTGACTAACTTAGGAGACAATCTTGTATCAAAATGGAGAATGTCTTGGAGCAAAAAAGCTTTGACTTGGGCAGCCTTGAAGTAGGGCTATCCCAGAACCCCAGTTTACAGATCCAAGAGAGGCCCACATAGTTCCTTTAAGGGAAGCTAATCTCACATAAATAATAGTAATGAGAAATTGATTATAAGTGAATACTAATAGATCTTACCAACAATAATAGGCACTACTGTTTATCATTAATGACCGCCTGTCTGCCAGATGTCCCTCAGAGCACTCACAACTTTCTGAACTAGGCCTGTCAGTAATTTGTCAACAGGTGAACAGCTTGTCACTGCCGGCCCAGAATCTAAGGCCCATGCCTCTGGTCCACCTATTGTGTCACCGCCTACAGATTTTCTGCCAACAGCCCTCTCTTCCATCACAATAATAATGCATGTTAGAAAAGGTGGACTTTCTGAGAGGTTGTCCAGATTCCTTCTGCCATATCAGCTGGTGAGGTCTCATGGGAGAGGGCCTCGTTCCATCGGTTGAAGTTCTGAGAATGAACTGAGCAAAAGATTAATGTAAAGGAATCAGTAATAGGAGAAAACTATATGGTAAATATCTACAGGGGTGGGCAAAGCAGGTTTGCAGTTGGAAAAAGACATAATACAATAATTAATAAATAATACAATAAGCTCTGCGTTTCACAGCTGTTAGCCTACTTTTCCCCACCTCTGTGTCTCCACCTGTATGGAAGAGATTCAAATACTTGGAAGCAGTTCTGGACCCATTTCTTCATCTGCATAGCAAAAATTATAGAATAGATGATCCTCAAAGTACTCTAGATCCTTATAACTGTATGTTTCTATCTTTGAATTTAAAAGCAGCTTGCTTTTGCAGCTCAACCCCAGGTTCTGAGAGGTTCAGATAGTATGATCTGGCAAAAGGGATCCAGGTAGGTGAAACTGCTGAACAAAAAAAGCATGCTGGTGGCTTGAGTAGTTCTCCCTGACCTACTGTGTGCTTTACAAGACCCTGTAGAACGCTGGTGGGACCTCCTCCCTGCCAGCAGGTGGCTCATTCCGACCTCCTGCTCACCCGTATCTGTTCTGGACTCAGGATTGTGTGCCAACTGCAGAGGATGCTGTCCATAGCCGTGGAGGTGGACAGGACCCCCACCTGCAGCTCGAATAAAATTGCCGAGATGATGTTTGGGTTTGTGCTGGACATTCCGGAAAGGAGTCAGAGGTGAGTCTTAGTTCTGTTTTTCTGTTTTATACCAGGAACATAATTTTGAAAGAAAATTCCAAACAGTAGTTAAATTGGGGAGCGGGAGTGGGGAGGTAGTTCCTGTTTCTATAACCTATAAAAAGAAGACAGTTTTCTTTTTTTAAATATGTTTTATTGATTTTTTACAGAGAGGAAGGGAGAGGGATAGAGAGTTAGAATCATCGATGAGAGAGAAACATCGATCAGCTGCCTCCTGCACACCCCTACTGGGAATGTGCCTGCAACCAAGGTACATGCCCTTGACCAGAATTGAACCTGGGACCCTTCAGTCCGCAGGCCGATGCTCTATCCACTGAGCCAAACCAGTTAGGGCAAGAAGACAGTTTTCAATGAATTATTATTATTTGCAACGAAGTCGTAATTTTTTGGGAAAAGTTGGGCTACCTTAAATGGAACCTAAATTTTCCTACTTTACCCATTTAGCTAACAATCTTACTCATCCTTCAAGGTTCACCTGCTAAGCACAACCTTCTTCCCTAACCCTCAGCCATGGAGCCTAGCATAAATGTCCATGGGAGGCCTGAGAGGCGAATGAAACAGGCATGTCCAATATTAGAGATGACCAAGAATGAGCAGGGCTGGACCTGTAGCATGAGCCCAGAGAGTAAGAATAAGGAATTCCGGAATAAGCCAGAGACCAGAATAAGGAGGGGATAAAGAAAGAGAGTTCTTGGCTAGAACTAATGATTCTTTCTTTGAACCAGCAATTTTAGAATCCAGAGGAAGACAAACTGGAATGAATATGAATTCGTAAACACTTGCTGGTACAGGAAGTAACTATGGGAGGGCATTGGAGAAATTATCTCCCTCGGTTCTCTGCTTTTCACCCCCAACCCCGATGCTCCCAGTTGGCAGCCAAGAATATTCTTCCACAGCTCTGGTTCCTCCATTAGAAGAAAATGTCCTACCAAATATTAGTCATAAAGATTTAATTAAAACACCCTGCTAAGATTAAGACAGGTGTTTATTGGGTCCCTACAATGTACCAGGCATGGTCACATTCTCATATTTTCATGGTACTAAAAGACGAGAAAAATACTAAATGTAGTGAAATAACTAATCCAGGGTTACACAGCTAATCAGATTCAGAATCCAAATTTAAACCCAGGACTTCTAAATCCCAGGTTCATTGTTCAAAGGAGGAGTCTGTGAAAGGTCAGAGAGGAGGTGTGCATAGATCTGTGCTCCCATTACCACATTATTTGGGTCCAACTCATACCAGTCAACATTTAGGCCCAGATTCTGCTGAGAGGTGAGAAATCGAAGGACTACATAACTATAAGCAAATTTAGATTTAACATAGACAAAAACAATTTAAGTAAAACGTGGCCCTACTTTAAAACTCTCCCAGAAGGGGCAAATTGGCATTCACCAAGTTATACTAGAAAATCCTTTATCTTAATGTTCCTTACTGAGACAAACAATATCTAGCACACTGTGAACATCCGGAAATATTATTCTCAATATTAACTCTCTTAGTGAAGTAATTCTTCTTAATGTGTCCTAAATTGGTCTTTTCCAAATACCAAGGCTCTCCTATTTCTAGCAGTTGTTAGTTCATGAACAAATCTGTGTCAGCCCTGTCCATGGGCCTGGTGAGTGTGCAGACCTGCATCGGGTTCTGTGTCTGCCCTGTCCACGGGGCTGGTGAGTGTGCAGACCTCCATCGGGTTCTGTGTCTGCCCTGTCCATGGCTTAGTGAGTGTGTAGGCCTCCATGAGGTTCTTTTGTAGCTGCCTGTTTTAGGGCAAATGTTAGAGCACCGAGGGGGAATTGTGGAACGTGTTCCTGGAAATAAGAGCCGTGCCGGTTAGCTGCCTCTTCACCTTCTCCATGCAGAGAGATGTTCTTTACCACCATGGAAAGCCACCTTCTGCGCTGCAAAGTGTTGGAGATCATATTCCTGCACAGCTGCGAGACGCCCACCCGCCTGCCCCTGTCTCTGGCCCAGGCCCTCTACTTCCTGAACCATTCCACGTCGCTGCTCAAGTGTCAGGTACCTGCCTCCCTGCTTCAGTTCAGGCCAGGACACCTTCCCCAACCTTTGAGCATCATGTCCAAGTGACTAGGAAACTGCACGAAACCTTTAACCGAGGGAGGCGGTTATTAGCAAGTGCTCTGTCTCCACAGTCGGACAAAACCCAGTGGCAGACGTGGGATGAGCTGGTCGAGCACCTGCAGTTTCTGTTATCCAGCTATCAACATGTTCTCAGAGGTAAGGAGCATTTGTGCTCAAGATGGTGTGGGAGTCTCATGGGGGACAGTGCTGTGCATTAAAGTTCCGCGGGGATTCCAGTCAGTTAGCATTGTTCCTTGGTTGTACCTGTAAGGAACAAGGAATGACATAGCTGGAATCACTGCTCTGAAACAGAAGAGCTCACCTGTTCATGACAGTATGTAACACATAGGTCCTCACCAGTATGAGTGAGCAAGAGTCACCAAAACATGGGAGGTGCTCAGTCATTTCCTGACTAGCCCTGGCAACAGACCCAGCCCGTCACGGCCATGTCTTTGCTGGGTCGATTGCTCACTGACTATGGACATTATAAACATCGTCAGTATGATGCAAACACAGCGCGCATCAGTGGAAGGTGAAAGTGTACATCCTACAAAAGATAGAAGACATCCTAACGTCTGTCAGAGCGGCTCTGCTCAACTCCCAGGCGAAGCTGAGAAAGAGCTGCTTCAAATGAGAATGATTGGTTAGCCAAGGATTAATGGGGCCCTTGGAAAAGTGATGTAATTAATTACAAAAGGAAAGATAGCAACTGCAGAAGAAAACTGGCATTCCTCTGGAGGTGATGCCCCGAGGACACCTCAGCCTTATGTATGTAATATTCTTGCCAAAAGTCCATGACCTCATCACAAGGAGGATCAGACAAACCCATTTTGAGGGATTTCACAGAACTGGCCTGTACTCCTCAAAAGTGCCACTTTCTTCAAAACAACGGTGGAACGAGAAACTGCTCCATTTTAAAAAGGAACTAAAGCATGTGAGTACTAAATGCAAAACATGGCCCTAGAGGGGGTCCTGAACCAGGAAGTAAGAAGCTAGAAAGTACATTATTGGGACAATTGATGATATTTAAACAGATTATAGAACTGCATTAATATTAAATTTCCTATTTTTGATAATTATCCTGGCCTATGAAAGTAAATGTCCTTGATCTTAGGAGGTCTGTACTGAAGTATTGAGAGGTAGAAGGGCAGTATCTTATTCTCAAACAATAGGAAGTGTATATGAAATTTATCTGCATGATCCTGTTGACGTTGATTTTAGCTCAGTAGAGGCACTTGGGAAGGTAAGAAAGTCTTTGTACCCTCCCGGGCCTAGAACTGAGGCTGATGTTGTAGAGACAGAAAAAAAAAGCTCTGGATTTAAGACAGAAGAGCAGGGTTTAAGTCCAAGCCCAGCACTTACTCTGCGTTGTGCAGCTAACTTGGTCTCTAGACCCGTTTCTCCTTCTACAGAATGGGGTTGGTAATATTTAACCTGCCAATGCCGCTTGCAAGTGGGTGTGAGGAAAGAGTAGGCATAGCCCAGGCATTGTGAGTGGACCTTGGTCTGCCTGTTTGCCTAAACAGGGGTACGCTCCAAGGGTCTCCTCTGTTTCAAGTTCTTGTAACTAAACAGAGTGCATTGTCAAGGCCACAGCACATGCTTGCGTAGTGGGGCATTTTTAGCCCTCTCAAAGCACAGTACATAGCCTACTCAGAACAAAGCCCCAAAGGCAAATTCCATGGGTGCTTAGCCTCACTGAGCTTTCTGTAACTATTTCTTTTGGAGATCTAGCAGAAAGTTTAATATTAAAGCAGCTTGTTTTTGTTTAAAGTTCATCTTTAAAACGTCTTGTTCATTTCTGTTTTGCTTCCCAGGAAATACACCTGTGTCATGGGCAATAGTGACTTAACATAGACATGGATTAAAAAAAAACAAAACATAGACATGGATTCTGGTTTACTTACAGAATATTCTTATGCTTCAAATAAGGGAAAGGGCCCTAACTGGTTTGGCTCAGTGGATAGAGCGTCAGCCTGCGGACTCAAGGGTCCCAGGTTCGATTCTGGTCAAGGGCATGTACCTTGGTTGTGGGCACATCCCCAGTAGGGAGTGTGCAGGAGGCAGCTGATTGATGTTTCTCTCATTGATGTTTCTAACTCTCTATCCCTCTCCCTTCCTCTCTGTAAAAAATCAGTAAAATATACTAAAATTAAAAAAACAAAAAAGGGAAAGGCAGGCCTCAGATCAGCATACAGGGGCGGCAAAAGTAAGTTTACAGTTGTAATACAAATAAAGAATACAATAATTAGTAAATAATACAAATATAAACTTTCAAGCACTCACAAATGTAAGCCTCCCTGTATTGAATAAATGGGCTGTGATGCAATGCTATTTTATCCTTGACATCCTCTCCAGCTTCAGTAGTTTGAAAGTGTCCTACCCTGAATGGCACCCTGAAATGGTCAGTGTCCTGGTCAGTGCGGGCTCCCTCGTCATCTCTGCCTCTTCACACGGTCTGAGGACATTTGGAGCTCAGCCTGAGTTGTCAAAGGTGGGGGAGAAAAGGGAGAGGTTGAAAAGCCTCTTAAGATGGAGAGAGGAAGGAAGATAAGCAAATTCACATACACTAGCTTATGTCATCCAATGACCTTGAAAAAGTCATTGACCTTTACAGATGGGGACACAAAGACTGGGAAGAAAGGAAAGGCAGAGCCAGGACTCAAACTCAGGGCTGTTGCCAAAGTCTGTGTAGTGAAAACACTGGGAGGAATTACTTTCCTATGAAATTGCTAAATGAAATTAGAAAGTGAGAGTTTCTAACTCCCTACCCATGATTAAATTACTTTCGTATAGACCAGCCGTGGGCAAACTACGGCCCGCGGGCCGGATCCGGCCCGTTTGAAATGAATAAAACTAAAAAAAAAAAAAGATGGTACCCTTTTATGTAATGATGTTTACTTTGAATTTATATTAGTTCACACAAACACTCCATCCATGCTTTTGTTCCGGCCCTCCGGTCCAGTTTAAGAACCCATTGTGGCCCTCGAGTCAAAAAGTTTGCCCACCCCTGGTACAGACCCTTGACTTTGGGGAGAAGTATAACCTGAACCTTCACATTTTACAAACATTTCCAGAGGCAGAGCAGCCCCACAAGACATGGGTGCTGGGCTGTCCATGAACGCATTCTCTGGCTAAAAGAAACAACGCCCCACACCCCCGTTTCTGAGCACAAATGTATTTACTCATTTGGCCTACCCTACAGTGCAGACAAAATGGTTTCACTTAAACAGTTACTATAATAAACCAACACCACAATAAACTTACTAAATATAAGCTCAGTATTTTTTTGCCATTCTTCCATACTTAGGAAAAATCTACCTTAAGATACTCAAAATTCACTTGAATATTTTTCAAGTGGTTATGTTAATCTTAAATATAGTTTCATTGTTTAAACCAAGGGAAAATTAAAATGGAATAGAATTTTTTTTTAATATGAAAAACTTGAGTACCAGAGAGAACAAGAACAATGGACCTTTTGGAAATAGTTACCACAGGTACCCACTTGGCCGTTGACTTGTGTCCCAGTAACTAGGCGACAAGTCTTTGCCCAGACCCTGCTACTAAAATTGGACTTCAGTGTCTTCAATCAGGAAGGGATAAAAAGCAGTTCTTTTCAACTGACTTGTTCCTTCTTGCAGAGCATTTACGGAGTTCGGTGATCGATCGAAAAGACTTAATAATCAAAAGGATTAAGCCCAAGCCCCAGCAAGGCGATGACATCACAGTGGTGGACGTGGAGAAGCAGATCGAGGCCTTCCACAGCCGCCTGGTCCAGATGCTGGGAGAGCCCCTGGCCCCCCAGCTCCGAGACAAAGTGCACTTGTTGAAGCTCCTGCTCTTCTATGCTGCGGACCTGAACCCCGACGCAGAGCCCTCCCCCAAGCCCTGGAGCAGCCCCTGAGGCCCTGCTATGCACTGAGCACCAAGAATACCTCCTGAACTGTATCGCCAACTACTTGCAAGTTCTGAAAGTATGGAAAGTAGTTCCAAGTCTTACAGGACCAAACCCATCTTATTTATCTGTAGGCTATAATGACTTTCTAACTCTTTAGTAATACCTTTTTAAAATAATCCTATCATAGCCTATTCTCAAATATGGCTTAAATATACAAGGTGTATATATTTTTTGATAAATTATTTATCTATACTTTTTGAAACAGGTAATACTATATGCACTTACATGTTTAATATTTCCATTCAGGATGTGAAAAAAATCCCTCTGAACAAATCCTAGACATCAAATGTTACTCAAGGTACTGATGATCCGTTTCGAAAGAGACACATTCATTTCTCCCCAATGGAACACAAACATCAATATTAGACCTGTTATATTGCCTATGAATTTGATTTTGTGGCAAGTCTATTAAGATCTAATGTAACGGGGGAAGGATGGAAGGTTAGAAATAAGAGGATGAGTGTTATAAAAACGTTAAAAGGATACAATAAAAAGGCAATGGTTTTTCAAAATACCAAGTTTACCTGCTTACCATGGCTATGAGTAAGCAGAATGCAGTAACGACTCTTAACAGGACAAAAACAACAGCTATGCACATTTGAGAAAGTAGTAAGGAATTTTATTGTCAAAACAAGTAGGACACGAGCTTAACAGAAGACACAAATAAATTAATTGTTCTCATCCTTTGAGATGCAGGCCTCTCTGGGGAAGGCTCAGCCCAGCTCCCTATGTAGACACGACCCCTCCGAAGCAAGAACAGCAGAGTCTGAGACAGTTCAGGACAAGGACTGCCCACGGCCGCGGTGGAGGGTGAGCAGGTGCTTTCCCTGGCTCCTGTCCCCAGCAGCTCACACAGGTCTGAGGCCCGTTTGGGGGCAACGGTTGCATGTAGAACCTTTTTCCATCCTTCCATGTGGCTCTTAGAAAAAGTTTCAGGTCCTGGTGACACTTGTTTCACATGAATGTCTGGACTAGAATCTACATATAGTTACCACCATCTTTATTTTAAAAACCTTAACATCCATTCATCTACACCAAAGCAGTAGGCTGCATTTTCTCCCTTAGAAACTTTCCTACCAAATTGGAGTTAACTTAATCTCACTTTAAAGTGCAGCAGAGGAGATGCAAGACTTGTGTTTGCTGACAGGTGAAAAGAAGCGCCGCCCAGCAGAACTGCCCTGGAGGCATCACAGTAGGAACCGGCTCTGCCCGAAAGCTAGAGCGAGGGCTCCGGTCTCCACGCAGGAGAAGGGTCCCTGCCAAGTCTGGCTTTTCTTCGTGCCCAGATCTCAAACGGATCGTAGGTCCCCGCAGCCACAAGGATGGAGCACACAGCACCAGCCGCCAAGAGGGCCAGAGACTAGACAGTGAGCACCTCTACTCCCTGACTTACCCATGCCCTCGCTGACCCTGGTCTTTAAAGGAATCAAGAAGTCTTGGTTTGGGAACAACATAAGCATTATCTACCTCGTAAGCAATGATCAAGTTCTTGTCTAGGCTAAATAATGCAAAAACAGGTGATCAGGCCTCCATACATCACTCCTGAGAGTATTCAGTCTAACTTCAAATTAAAGCAATGCACAATGGCTTCCACACAGGACAGCTTTGCACTAATGTTTCTCAAAAACCAATAATGTCTCCAGTTCTAGCCCCAGGTTAAGGTTTAAAAAAACAAAAACCAAACCATTCCTATGTCAGAACCAGGGTAATAAGGAAGTGGGTGCAAGACACCTCGATTCAGTCAATGGAAGAGAAAGCTCTAGAAGCCGGTGGGTGTGAGCACATTCAAGTCCCGGGGTTTGAGATTATGGGTCCGAGACGGTTGTTTCTTCCCTTCCATCACTGGGAGGTCCATCTTGGGGGGCTTGAAGGTGGCTGGATCGTCGGCCATCCGCGTGGCCTGCATGCGCATCAGTTCCATTGGAGAAGGCTTCTGGGCGCCTCTGTAGGGCTGGGTGGCAAAGCCTCCTGCAGAAGGAACCAGAGCAAACGATTTCAAAAGCAGCAAGCAGCTCCTGCCGCACACGGTAAATGCCGCACACGCTTTCTCTCTTGAGGAAGGCTCCCTGACTGCCTCTGTGCTCCATGTCTGGAGTGCCAATGCCGAGCCCCAACCACATCCAAACCAATGCCCCTGGCTTACCCGAATCAGACTTCTGGAGGGATCTTGGTCCAAAGAGGCTCCATTTATCTGCCGAGTTTCTGTCTTTATCCCCAGAATCCATGGTGCTAAAATGTGGGCCAGGTAGGGCTGTGGAAGAGCCCGAAGAGAACCAGCCTCTGGCAGGGAAAGAACACAACAGCCCAATAGATCCTCTTTCTAGCCCCTGAGAAGTGCCTCGTGCGAGAAGCCTGGGAACGGCCCCCTTCTCGCTTCAGCCCCGCGTCCGCACATGCAGGCTCACCTCGGCTTCTGCCTGGGGGAAGAGTGGGGGGTGCTGCTGGGGGTGGACTGGGCGGAGGCCGGCTGCTTCTCTTCCCTCGCTACCTCTCCACTCTGTAGCTTTAGTTTCTGTTCAGATGGGTAAGGAGAGACGTGAGCCAAGTTTGGGTATAAACATCCTGGTCCGCACCAACTTCAGGCAGAAGGAAGACATTAATAGGCAGAATAATTTTGGATCATAGAACAGATATTCCTTTGATTTTGTCATACTAGACAGACATCTATCTTTTAAAAAAATGATTAATTCTACAACACAGCTTCAGTATTTCTGCACTAAATACCACATTAGAGCTTTTAGTTTTCCCACCTCATCCAGCCAGTAAGTGCAAGAGCCAGAACTCAAGCTGCAGGCCTTCTGTGCCTTCTCAGTATGGCCTTGAACTCTTCCCTTACTGTCTCTCCTGCCACGGACAATCCGTCACGCCAGGCTCTCTAAGCCACGACTCGGGCATGCTACTCCTCCAGCTGCCTGCTTCCTCTGTGGTGCCTGCCCATCTGAACCTTTTCCTCCCGTAACCAGCCACCCTGGTTCCTTCCGCACTGTAAACATACCGCTGACATACAGGCAAGCGGCTGCCGGGGGGGGGAAGAGTCTACTTCCCAGTTCTTCCAGGTCGAGGCTCCCTGACTGCCTCTGTGCTCCATGTCCGGAGTGCCAATGCCGAGCCCCAACCACATCCAAACCAATGCCCCTGCCTGAACACTCAAACACTCCACGGCAGCTTACGCAAGCGGCACCTCAGCTGGCTTTGTGTTCTAGTGCTGTGGCCAAGATGCAGAAAATGGCCCAAAGTCAACTCTGCCATTATGCAGGGCGAATGGCTCAACTGGAACTCAGGCACGGATCCTGGGAAGTTCTCCGAATCAGAGACCCATGTGCCCCTCTCCGGAAGCACCTGTCCTGTCTGACAGCGCACACTGGCCGGCCCAACTCTGATCCCCCACAGCAGTGGTTTTACACCCAGCGTGCAAACATCATCTGGGATGCTCATTAGGAAATGCGAGTCCACAGGTCCTACATCCCTCCCACAGGCTGCTCGCTGCACCTCACTCTCCCGTCTACCCTCTGTGGGCATGATCCTCCTTTGAGGCCTTCAAGAGCCAGGGTCTCTGACAACTTTGGAATATGGCGGAAACACCAAGAAGTAGGGCATCAGGAGACTTGAGCTCAGATGCTGTGAGGGGTTAAGTCAGGGGTGGGCAAACTTTTTGACTCGAGGGCCACAATGGGTTCTTAAATTGGACCGGAGGCCGGAACAAAAGCATGGATGGAGTGTTTGTGTGAACTAATATAAATTCAAAGTAAACATCATTACATAAAAGGGTACGGTCTTTTTTTTTTTAGTTTTATTCATTTCAAACGGGCCGGATCCGGCCCGCGGGCCGTAGTTTGCCCACGGCTGGGTTAAGTACATGAACTTGGACGCCAATCTCTGTATTGATAGGACAGGAAGAACAGTTCCTACCTCAAAGGATTAACAAACACAAGCCTAAGTGGATGGAGTGCCTCAGACATCACCAGGCACTGCTAAGTACAGAGTGGTTGGTGTTCCTTGAGCTAAAGTCATTTGAAATTATTTCATTCACCCAACTATTTGGTCATCATTACCCTTACCAAAAATCAGTCTTCATTCCAATTTTAGAATAAAGAGCAAAACTTCCCAATTCTGCATTTGCTTTTAATCTTTTAAACACGGAGCTGCCATTCTTTCCAGCAAGTGTCTGGCCTCTGGCATTGCCGATGCTCCTCTCCCCTCGGCGCCCATCGCTCTGGTACAAGAAGCGACCCACACTGGCTTTGCTGTTCCTGACGCGCTCACGCTCACTCTCTCTCTCACACACACACACCACACGCATGAGCACAGAGGCTCCTCGCCTCCTCCTGACCAGACGCCCCCACTTCATAGGCAGATAAGCAGAGCCTTCCGGGTCAGAGCCCTGGACCTTAGGGCCCCTGTGCCACCACAGGTGGGTTCACACAGCTCTACATTCCTCACCTCTTCTCTTGGCATCATCCCCCGCAACCCCCACCTCGCTGAGCTGGTAACTTCTAAACCACAGCCACATCTCACGCTGAGTGATGACGGTGTCGTTTTTGTCAAACAAGCTTACGTGGAGTGCTTCTGCCACTCGAAGGTACTTGGTCTCCTCGGTGGTCAGGCCCTTGTGAGGTGTGTAGCCAGCATCTCTCAGCCCTGCCTGTTGCTCAAAACGCTGAATGCTCTCCTGGGTCTGTTCTGGGAACAGAGGAGATGACAGTCATGCCCACCCGCTCTCCCATCACAGATGGGGAGCAGAGAGCAGATATCCGCTCTTCTCCCCAGAAGCAAGGGCCACACGGGCCGCCCGAGGAGGTTTCCCCAGACCAGCAGTAATTCCAAACCTCACAGGAAGGTTCAAGAACCAGAGGGAGCCTTCCCTCACACCAAGAACAGAAACCTCCAGGGAAACTCCTTACCTTCCTGCGATTTGTACACTGTGACATTCCCTTTGTGTTTAGAAAGGCAACATGGAGAAGCCAGCTGGCATTCTCCACATACAATTTCCTAAGAGGCTCACCACCCTCATGACCCACACAAGGACCTTCACCAAAGAGAAACGGGCCACATTTTGCCTAGATGGCACCAAGGTATCAATTCAATTCAAACCAGAGAACGTGCCTTGAACTAGTCCAGGTCTACCGAGCCAACGTTTCTCATGTGTCAAAGTGCCCCTCACGGCGCCTGGCACAGCAGACAGACAGATGTGATCGACTTATATTGTAAACAATAAGTCAGTTATGGGAGCATTTGAGACCCTGCTTCCTGGCATATGTTGGCAGTTTGGCTCAAATAAAGTCATAAAATTTCTCTAAAAGAATATGTAAATAAGTCATTTATCCCGTGGAATGAATGACAGCTGAGTTTTTTGCTCACTCTGGATTCGACCTAATACAGCTCACGCACAGGAATGTGGCAGCTGTGGACCAAGAGTCCAGAGCCCAGAGTCCTTTATGACTCAGTCATTCCCCTTCGCAGGAACTATTTTATTTCTATCAGAAATAAAAGCTCAGGAAAAAACCTAAATGTATGAAGATGTTTTACTGTCTTACCAGGTAGTTACCTGAAAATTTAAAAGGTGGGAAAGGATTTAATGCATCACACACACCAACACCAGTACTTTGAATGTGGCTATTTTTTAACAATGTAAGACTAGAGCAACATCCAAAGAAGTTCATGGCAGTATTAACTGAAAGAAAGGTATGACTACATCTGCAATCATGTAAAAATATGCACACCGTGGAAGTGAATTAGCCGACTATCTGCATGACAGCGGCACCCTGGGGAGCTGGGACGCTCTGCTCCGGGGAAGCGCATCTTCCATAGGGAAGCCACTGTGCCGGGAGGAGAGGACCGAGCCTTCCTTCTAGCACAGCCAGAACATTCTCCAGCTTGCACAGTACAAGCAGTGGTTGCTGATGCAAATGGCGAGTTTCCATGTGAATGAGAGGACGTCCAAAGGCAGTTTGGACTTTTGGTTCTTGGGCGAGTTCTCAAGTAACTGCGCGAATAAACGATGCCTCCCAGAGCAGAGAAACAAGGACTTCAGACTCCAAAATTGAGCCAACCAGGAGAACCTCTATGCGCCCTGTCCCTGGCAGAGGCTGCTGCTGACAAGCAGAACTGAGTATCTAATGATTAACTGTTAACTTCCCACAGCAGAACCAAAGTTTAAAAAAAAAAAAAAAAATGCAAGCTCCCTGCTGCCAGTCTCATTAGGACCACAAATCACACATCCTTAAAAATAAAGAAGCTGAGCAACAAACTTGCCTCAAGGCCCAGAAAGGGGAACATCTTTGAACCACTTAATTAAAAAAAGAAAAAAAAGAAAGACAGACAAGGCAGGTGGGACCCTCCTCCACCTGCCAGCCAGACTCCTCACTTCATTTAGGAGTCTTGCCAGTTAAGTCACTGGCCTCAGGCCATTCTGATGGACTTGGGCAAACAAGACGATAGGAGCAGAGCAGCAGGAATACATCTACATCAACTGGGATGCCTAGTATTTGGCAAATCTTCACCTCAATGGAGCTTCACTGGTGAGCTGGCACCTGCCACAGTCAGGACAGGCTAAGGCAGTGTGTCTGCAGAACCCCATGCACGCTTCCTCTCCCAGCCCTCTTCCACTCTATTCTGAGGGTGCAGAGCGCTTACTTGTGATCAGAGAACTCATGATGACACGGGTGGCTTTAGCCTTCACCACTGGGACCTTGTCCATATTGTCAGTGGCCGATGACAGGGTCATGGCAGGGGAGGAGACACTGGCTTCTCCTTCCTCCACCTGTGCAAGAGAGGTAAGGAGGCACTTGAGCAGAGCAGGCGGGTCACACCTAAACTTTTCCCCTTTGGGGAGAAGTCACTGAAACACCTTGAATCTGATATGTGAGGAAATCTTTGAAGGGAGGGTTTTTGTGTCCTCCCGATCAGATAAATATCATCCATAGTGACAAGAGATAAAGACATAAATAACCTGAATTTATAAAAGTGGGAAAGCCAGAATGTGAAGCTGACGTCTCCTACTTCCCGTGTCTGTCCAATAGGCTGCTAGAACCCACTACTGCTCACTGACCATGTACCAGGCGTAAGTACGCTGGCTTTGACTTAACTCATCGCTGCATTCACTCAGTGTTGTCAGACTTCAGAGCATCAGGATGCCCTGCATGGCTTGTTAAACATCGCGGGGCCCCACCCCACAGTAGGCCTGGGCGGGGGGGGGGGGGGGGGGGCCTCAAGAACTCATGTTTCTAACAAATTCCCAAGTGATACTGATGCTGCTGGTCCCCAAGACCGCGGCTCTAACCGTTCTTTTGAAACAAACCAAAACAACAAAAAAAAGGCCCGTGTGGCTTAGTGGTTGATCAACCTATGAACCAGGAGGTCATGGGTTCGATTCCAGGTCAGGGCATATGCCCAGGTTGGATGCTCAATCCCCAATAGGGGGTGTGCAGGAGACAACCGATCAATGATTCTCTCTTATCACTGATATTTCTCTCTCTCTCTCCCTCTCCCTTCCTCTCTGAAATCAATAAAAATATATTTTAAAAAATAAATAAAATAAAAAAACTCTAGGTAGCTCCTAATCTTTAATGTGAGAGCCAAGAGCTCGCCACCTTCTGTCACTCCAACCCAATGCCATGCTCAGGACGAACAGGGAGGAGAAAATTGGGTTTATTCTTTGTTCTCTACTTCCCTAAAGGAACTAAGACAGTCAGAAAGGAGGGGAGAAGTATGAAGTGTGTTGTTACAAAACAGGGATTATAATTTTCAGCTGTGACCTCACTGGAGTAGAATGTAACCCTCTGCTTCCTTACTTGGAAGATGCGGGACAGGCAGGCCCAATGAACGAATGCATGTGATGAGTCCAGCTGCGCTTCCCTTTAAGAGCAGCTGTTCAAAACTGCAGCTGTTCCAGCTGGGGCACCACAGCAAATGGGAAGCCCATTCTCTGCCTTGGCAAACAGCAGCCTTTACAAATGGGAGGGTGTGCCGCCCTTGGGAGCACTGGCAGAGCCCGGCTTACCAGGGGCTCCAGTCCCCAGAGGCCACTGCTGTCACTGCAGGCAGGCTGCCAGGGTCGGGCTCACCAGGACTGCCAGTCCTTTCTACACGGACGTTTACTCCTAGCAACTAACTGGGTCAGACATCAGTACATAATGGACGGGGAATTTCCCCCAGAGCTGCAGGGGAAGCTTGTGATGAAAGGAGCTCCCTGTTCTGAGAGCTTAAGGGAAGGGGTGAGGAGGACCCATTAGAAAGGCATCAAATACAGCTCTACCGAGTCCAAGTTGGGCTGGGAGCCAGGAGTCAGTGTCCCCTGCACACCTAATATGTGTCAGATCTTTCAATCATCTTTCATTTAATCCCACCATACCTCCATGGCAAAAGCATTCCTATTTCTCAAGCAGAGACACTCAGGCGTGAGGCTCTGTGCCCAAGGTCATTGCTAATATATAGACCATTATGGGATTCATACCCAGGTCTGTTATAGTAAACAAGGGGCCCAGTGCACAAATTCGTACACCTTGAAAGGAACTGTGGGCTTCGAGGCTGCGGTGGGCACAGGGGTGGGTCTCGGCCCATCCTCTGTGCCCCCGCCCAGCCCCTCCCACCTGCCTGCAACCCCATTCTCCGCCACTGCCGCTCCCACATGCTGACGGCACCAGCCTGCTTGCACCGACTGAAGGCGTGGAGCAATTGGGGCCGGTGCCAGCAGCAGGTGCGGGTGGGGCTGGCACCAGGCACCGGCAGCGGGTGCAAGCGGGGCTGTCACTGGCAGCGGGTGCAAGTGCCAGGTGGGACTGCGACACACGGGAGCAAGGAATTTTCAGTAACCACCAGAGGCTCACCCCGATGACAGCGACCAGTGCCTTGCCTTGGTCTGGCATCCCCCCTCACCTGCCCCACCATCCCACCGTGGCCTACGGCTGCCATGTTTTGCGCATGCCCCCTGGTGGTCAGCGCACATCATAGCAACCAGTTGTTCGGTTGTTCCACCTTTTGGTCTATTTGCATATTTTCTTTTATTATATAGGATGCTCACTATGTACTTCCTGTCAGGCCCTGAGCTGTCACACAGCTCAAAGTTCAGTGAAACTAGCTGTAGATTAAATGGCCTCATCTGAACTTGGTAGGCCTCGTTTATTCAGGCAACAGAACCAAGCAGAAGTGACAGTGGCAGCCCCCACAGCCAGGAAGCACAGCCTGCAACGAGCACGTGAGAACCCCCGAAGCCTGCACGGAGGGGCTGTAGAGCAGGTCGCAGTGGGACGAGGCGTGTAGTGTTTGGGAGTGGGAGCAAGGCCTGAGGAAGAAGGCAGCTCTTATGTGGGAAAGGCATCTGCGGCAGGAGGAAGAGCATGACAAAAAGTACAGCTCGTGTTCAGGAAAGAGCCAACTGTTTCCCCCCAGTCACTCGGCACCTGCTTCACGCCAGGTCCTCTGCTTGGTACTGCAGGTGGGGCACAGAACTGGCACGGCGTCTGCCCCGCAGAGCTAATGGGAGGTGGCAAGTAACGTAGGGCCTGTGACAGGGGCCTGTGGTACAGTGGCGCGGTGACAGTCTTATCAGGAGGAAAGTCCTCCCAGGAGAGGTGTCTGTGTTAAGACTGAAAGGACACCACTTGTCAGGCGGGGGGGGAGGGGCAGAGGGAAGAGGGAGGAGAACAGGATGGAACGTAAACACTCCAGGCAATGAAGTAGTGGAAGCAAAGACTTAGGCACCCAATACCCTGGTGAGTGCAGGAAACCTTGGGTAACTTGCATGGTCAGATGACGGGGGGGAGCAGCAGACAGGAGCGGGTCATGCAGAGCCAGACTATGGAGCTAGCATTTTTAATGCTACGGCAAATGAGATGGTTTGGACAGAGGAGTCTCGGGTAGGAGAACACATGGCCATTCTAGTTTGAATTAAAAAGAAAAAGAGGCCCACCAACTCCAGCTGAGGCCCAGAAAACACACACAGGAACTGGTGGCGGCCAGACCCTGCGGGTGCCGGAGCCGAGGAAGGAGAATGCAAGGCTGGGCTTGCCAGAAGCAATCGGCAGGGTCAGGTACCTTGGCGAGGTGCTGGTACTTGCGCTCTGGAATCACTGGCTTCCAGGGGAGGCTGCCCATGTCCGATGGAGGAGGAGTCATGGGCGTAGGGTCCTCCAGGGCATCATCATAGCTGAATGCCCGGCGGCTCATCCCGATGGGCAGGGACATCTTGCCTAGAGGCCCACTAGGCTCAAGAGCTAAGAACAGAGACACCTGTCAGGGTGGGTTCAGCAACTGAGCACGCGAACAGCTTTAAACTCATCTGTAGGCAGGAAACTCTGGGACACTCACTCTGGGACAAGTGAAGCTTGTCTGTAAAGCGAATCCATTCAAGGAAAGTAACCTGTAGCACTAACCCCTGCCTTTATGCCTGGCACCTAGATGCTCCTCTGGACCCACTCAGCGGCCCTAATCCATTGACTTGGTTTAAACGACCTGAGCAAGGTCACACACTTCACTAAGTCATCAGAGTCCAATCCTGTCTCTTCCCAAGCTTTTGCTCTTATGCCAGACTCTGCCCCACACACAGCACTACCACCGCCCTCAACTCACCGAGCCTGAGGCTATGGCGTTCTTACTCCCATTTCACAGGAGGAAAGGCCGACAGGTAAAGTGATTTGCTCCAATTCACACAGCCAGCAGCCAGCTGGGGCTCGACTGCAAACCCTCTGCCTTCCCTACCGCACCACAGAAAACAGGAGCGCGGTGACGAGAAATGGTTAAAGCACGCTGCCCGGCGCCACCGCTCCGCTCCGAGCGATCTGCAGGATTTAAGCAGCAGCTCCACCGCCAGCCCAGACACTGCTGACAACCCTGCTACCTCACAAAGCGCTGCCAGCTGATCCTGCCCTTCATCTGCGGGCCTGACTGGCAGAGGCCCCGCTGTGACACAGGCACCCGCCCCGCAGCCCTGCCAGCAGGGAGCAAAGTTCACTGAGTGTTTGTTTCATGCAGAACTAACGTCCACATCCTGCCTTCACGTGACATTTTCCTGTTGCTAAAATTACACAGTCACTCTCCAAAACATCAGCCTGTGTGGCACTAAGTCCAAAACGAGCAAAGACACGTCATTTAAACAGCAAGGGAACCAAGTATCTACCATTATTATTATTGCTATTAACATCAATAATAATTACTAATAAGTTCCTAAAAACAGAAGGAGGATTAGTGGTTGCCAAGGGCTGGTGGGGGTTAGAGAGTGGGGGAGGAATGGGTATGAGGTTTTCTTTTTGGAGTGATGAAGACGTTCTGAAATTAGATAGTGGCCACAGTTACACAAAACACTAAATTATTCATTTTAAATGGGTGAATTTGATGGTATGTAAATTACCTCAATAAAAATAAGCCAATAATAATTACCAAATGCCCTTCCTTAACAGGCACTTACATCCCTCATCTTACCTTATTCTCATCAAACAGATACCCTTCCCATTTTCCAGCTCAGGAAACTGAGGCATAGATCTTGGTGACACCCAGCTAGCAAGTGTGGGTGGGGTTAGAACACAGACCTAAGCCAGTGCTCACTCTACATGCAACACTCCATGCGCCCCACACTTCAAAGCATTCACATGACAAGTGCAGCATGATGGTCTGGGATGGTCACAGCAGAATTTATGCTAATCACGAGAGCAATGAAAGACAAACAGAAACGCAAGTTGATGAAGTCAAAACTAGAGAGGATCGATACCGGGATACATGGGAAGATCCCTATTACTCCTCTGAATTTGGGAGCGATTTCAAAAACATCTTAAGACTTCTCCAACAGCCATCCTCATAGCTTTCCTAAATAATGATAAAGTCAGCTAATACTTACTAAGAAACATCCTACAGATTTTCTGGGCATTAAATGCATATCCATCACTAACTTTGACACATTTTCACATATTTTATGTTTAATCTTTACCGAAGCCCTAAGAGATAGGCACTATCATCTATACTTCGCTGATGACCTCAAATTGAGTGATTCAAATTTTGATTACAAAATCACTGCCCCTCCCACTAAAATAGTCCAAGGTGGGACCAATGACTTCAGTAACCCAGAAATGATTGCTGTACAGAGACCCACGACTCATGAAATGACTGCTTCAGTTAGATTTTGGGTTCATTATCTTATTAACTACCCAGCCAGGTAGTTAATTAGTTAATAAGATAATGTTATTATCTACCAGCCTGGGTAGTTAATAAGATAATATTTAAGTGATGCCAATCTATTAAATCTAAATACTTTACTGGCAACCAAGAGTAACCCTCAATATGTGGTTCAGAAAAAGTGGTTTCTGGCTAGCACCGTTGAGGACCAAACATGATTTCACCAAGAAGAACTGACTTTACCAAAAAGAATTAAGTTTACCAGGCACTTCTGATGGTCTCGAAGCCATTGAAAGACCGGATCCGGGTACTTTTTCTATATAGATTTCAGAGCTGAGTCCCTGCCACCTAATGAGAATAACAAAAAGCATTTTCTTACAGTGAACACCAAAGAATAGCTCCAGCGCTGTTCTTTTGACAGGCACACAAAGCGTGTTATGGCTTGTTTACAACGCTGAAACAACACACACAAATGAGCCAATGGGTGAGCAACATGCCAAGGCAAGAAAAAAAAGGTAATGGCAACGATCTCACCACACCTGTGGCTGACCTTAACACCTATGATAGGACAGAAACACTACACCTGGTGAAAAGGTCGCCTTACCCGAGCAGAATGATGTTTATGCTGCCAGAGAGAGATTAGTGAGGAGCATGGTCCAGACTCCAGCTGCTGCACGTGAGCTAAGTTCTCGGGAAGAGTCCATCCATTCCAGAGGTTCTAAGAACAACAAGCAAAGAGCACCGGGCCGGCCCGTCAGCACCTGCCAAACAGCCTCCTATGCATCCAGGGGCTGCCCGCCCGGCAGAAGGGTTAGAAGTCTGGTTTGGTTTGGTTGTCAGTTAAGTTACGGCTCAGGGTTCCGCCGATAACTTGACCCCACGGCGAGGGGCTAGGTAGCACAGAGGGTAAATTCATTCTTTGTTGCTAACGCCGACTAATATTTATATGGGTTTTTATACAACACTTATCTTGTGTTTGAACCCTTGCAGAATCCCGCCAAGCGGGCATTGTTTATCCCCAACGTAAAGAAAAAGAAAACTGAAAACCAGGAGGCAAGTGATTTGTCCTTGGTCACCGATAAGCGGCCCACCTGCAAGGCAGGCGGCTGCATCCCGTTCGCCGGGGAGTTCAAGCAAAGCCCCGAGAAAGCAGAGTTAGTTGCTTTTCAACTCGCTACACGGCCCCTCTATCCCGACGCAGCTCAGAGGCAAACGACGTACGTTCTTCATTCAAGGGCACCGCAGGCACCACAGTGCGCCCCCCCCCCCCCCCCCCCCGGGTCCGGGCGCCTTCCGAGCAGATACGCCCCTGCCACCTCCGCCCCGCCCCCGCCCCCGCGGAGCTCCCGCGTCCCCGACACCGGGCGCACGACCACGTCTCCGGGATCTGCAAGGCCGGGTCCGACGCAGCCCCTCTCCCACCCAGCGAGCAGGGAGAGATCACGGAGGGTGGGCCGGGGCCTGGCAGCCGGCGGCAGGGCAGTGGGGGCTTCAGAGGTGAGGGCGGGGCGGGGGGAGGTCCCGGGCACGTCCGGTCGGAGGAAGCAGAGGCGAGGCCCCGCGCGGAACAGCGTCAGAGGGAAGGCCCGCTCGGGACCCCAGAGCCTGGGGGAGGGGGAGGGAGAGGGGAGCGCTCCCCGCTGGCCCCGCGGAGGATGGAGCCCCCGGGAGGGCCCGGCCCGGCCCGGCCCACCTCCATACCTGCGTGGCCGCCGCGGAGCTGCCTACAGCCCGAGCTCCGGTACTAAACAGGCTCCGAGGACCCGCGTCTCTCCAGAGGTGGTGCCGCAGTCGGGATCCAAGCCATGGCGTGAGCGTTGTGGTGTCAATCGCGACTCAAAAGCCTCGGGAACCGACCAGGGAGCCTAAAATGCCGGCTGGGCCGCCGCCTTCGTGATAAAGCCTCCCGAGCCGCTCAAGTCACGCGAGACTTGGTCCGGAAGGCGCTCGGGGCATGCTGGGAGTTGTAGTCCACGATCGGAAAGGCCCCCAAGATCCCGCTGTTCTTCTAAGTCTTAGATTAGAATCTAAGAGAAGCAATGAGCAGGGACCCTCTTTCAGCAAGAACTGGGTTAGTCAGGGTTCATACTGGTAGCAAAACCAAAAAAGGGGGCAAACCCCATCCGCCTCCCCTAGACAAGCTGGTTCCGAATGTCATTTCCCTGTTAAAACACTAACGAAAGTGACGCCTGAAGAGATGCCCTCTCAAATGTCACAACTTGAAGGAAGAAAGTTGTTTTCCCTGTAGGGTTTACAAACATGATAAAGCGACATGTTTCTACCCCACGTTCCAAGCTTGCCATCAAGCCTCATCTCTGAGGGCTGTGGTTGGCTGGGGAGTAGGTCTCATATTTAGATTTCAGCATTCATATTCAGGTATGCATAACCAGTGATCACAGACAATAGTGCGGGGAAGGCCTGGGGTGGGGCAGGGGCTGGGAGGAGAAGAGCATAAGGGGGGTGGAATGGGGGACATCTGTAATACTGTCAACAATAAAGTAAAATTTAAAAAAATAAAAATAAAAAGATTTCAGCATTTGACACTTGCCAGGTCTACTGGCAGGACTGCGAGGCTTTCTCCAGACAACTTTAAACTTGAATGTCATCACCAGGCCACCTCACCTGACTGCATCACACATTAAAGTCGTTTCTAAGTTTTAAAAGTAGCTTGTGAATAGCAACAATTACATTGCAATGTGGTGTGTGTGTGTTCAAAGTGTTATTTCGGAACTTTTAGAATAGTATATGCCATCATTTTAACCCTCCGTGGAAGCAAAGCTGACACCTTGCCCTCCTCCATCAGCAGGACAGAATGCACATCACGCCCGTCAGAAGCGAGGAAACAGCACTTTGCAGCCTTCTATGAACCAGAAGGCAGGATCACCTTGTTTCATTCTTATCCTCAAATAAAAGACAATGGAAGCCTTTCCTGGAAGTTATTGACTCTGACTTAACTTTATCTCTGACTTTTGCAGTACTGATGTCTGAAACTATGGCATGATCGAGGCAGGTAGTAGCCATGTGCGAAAATTGCTGTTTTCCACAAAGAAATAGACTAACTATAAACTTTTAACCATCACAATCTGATGGGGTTCTCCCCTTTAAATGGGTATTGTATTTTTTTTTTAAATTGGGGATCTTACTCATCTAAAGCCTGGACTCCCTTCCAAGCTTTCCATGCAAGTAAACTAGTTTTATTTTATTTTTTATTGATTTCAGAGAGGAAGGGAGGGGGGGAGAGAAATATCAATGATGAGAGAGAATCATTTATTGGCTGCCTCCTGCACGCCCTCTACTGGGGATCGAGCCCGCAACCTGCGGTGCCTCCACTGGGAATCAAACCCGACCTCCTTGTTCATAGGTTGACGCTCAACCACTGAGCCACTCCAGCTGGGCTAAATGAGTTTAATAAGTGTCTTGGTTGCGTAGTTAAGGAGGATTCAGTCTGTCATGACTGAATCCACAAACCCAAGAAGGGTACCTTCTGAGCTGCCTAAAGTCAGGACATCGTCCTCAGCTCCTGCAGGGCTCCCGTGTGGCACCAGAAGTCCCGCCCACTCCTCTTCTGTGCTTTTCTCCTGACTCTGGTTTTTGTCCTTAACCAAGCTGCTTCCAGTTCTGTGCACGGCCACCTTCCTTCCCCAAGGGCAGCAGCATCTTTGGGAAGTTCTATACGGTCTGACTGCATGGTTCTTTTCCGGGGCCAGACACTGGTCAGGGAGCCCTGCGTGTGGCTGACCAGGGAATATGGTTGCCTTTTTATGTATAGTTACAACATACACTTATGAGGAAACTAATTTTCTAAATTAGTTTTGACCCTGAATTGTCTTTTTGTACTTCCTTGGGCATTTCATACTTTAGTAAACATGGAGCCTCGAAAATTAGAATTGACCAGGATCTCTCTTGCCTTCCACTTCATGGGGGAGGGGTCACCTGCCTCCCTGTAGACCTCTCCCCTCTCGGGCCAGGCCAAGCCTTCAGAAAGGCCTGTTCCCTAGACAGAGCTGCCAGACCCCTCCGCAGACAGGAACTGGGTTACTACGAGGGTAGCAAGAGGGGGCATTTGCATTTCTCGAGACTGGGAGCTCTACCTGGAAGCCGGCCCCCTTTGTCATCATAGATGAGGCATCCACCTAGCAGTGCTCAGGGATTGTCCGTCTCCATTGCCCAATTGGCAGCTGAAGAAACTAATGCTTTCAGGGGGACTTTGGCGAAGGTATCTCAGCCAGGAAGCCAGAGTTGAAATTCAAGCCCAAGACTGAGTAATCTACCCGGCAGGTTGGCTGCTGGCTGTCCTTGGCCTCAGCGTCTCCACTTTTTTTTTTTTTTTTTAAATATCAGTGAGAGAAACATCACTGATGGGCTGCCTTCCTGGCAACTACTTGGTGTACTGAACAAAGCTCAACCAACTGAGCCACACCAGCCAGGGCAGCCCCTCCACTTTTTAAAATCCCTGGGACAACAGGTACATTTCCAAAGGAAGAAAAAACTGGAAGCCACGTCTCCCTCTAGTGGTGAGGGGGGAGAAAGATTTCATTGTAGAGATTAAGGATGCTGGGCTAGAGACTCAATTGTCAGACTGTCCTTGCAAACCAACTTGCCCTGGCCAGAGAGGTCAGTTGGTTAGAGCGGGCACCCGATACGCACAGTTTTGGGTTTGACCCCCTGACAGGGCACATACAAGAACCAACCAATGAATGCATAAATAAGTGGAACAACAAATCTTCCTCACGTCCTCTCTCTCTCTAAAACCAATAAAATTAAAAATTTGCCTGGCCAGTGTGGCCCAGTTGGTTGAGCGTCGTCCCATGCACCAAAAGACTGCCGGTTTGGTTCCTGGTCAGGGCATATGCCCAGGTTGTGGGTTTGTCCCCCTAGTTGGGTGCATATGGGAGGCAGCTGATAGATGTTTCTCTTGCACATTGACGTTTCTCTCTCTCTCCCTTTCTTCCTCTCTAAAATCAATAAAATCATATCTTTAGAAAAGGTTAAAAAAAAAAAAAAGAAACCAACTCATCCAACCTAATATTACAGATGGTGCAACTAAGGTGCAGAGAGCAGAAGGAATCAGGCCAATGTCACACAGCTAGTCTGGAGCAGTTAGATAGAACTTGTGTTCCTGTGTCTTACTTTTTTTTTTTTTTAAATATGTTTTATTGATTTTCTACAGAGAGGAGAGGAGAGGGATAGAAAGCTAGAAACATCGATGAGAGAGAAACA